TAATAAGATAAACACAATAATCCATCCAAGTAACAAACCTTTGCGTCATTTTGTGTCATCCCAAACGGGGGTATACTCGGTAACAATCCCCAAGTGGTGATGGTGTATTATTGTTTTTTACCTCATAAATTCATTAGTTAAATCCACATGAAACAATGTAAAATCGCTTATTATTTATGCTGCTCACAATTCACCTTGGTCCACAAATTCATTCAACCCCAAACCTAGACTTATGTTGTTGTTTTTTCGTGTTCATTCATTTTAAGCATATATATATATGTATATAATGAATGGATCCAGAAACCAAAATTGTTGCTTACAATTCCCTCTTTGTTGCCAATTTCCTATGCGGTTCGGGAGCACCCGCGGTAGATCTGCTTCAAAAACACGTCGTTCGACGTGGGATCAGCACAGATCACCTGGGAGCGTCAGCAGCCCTTCGCACGCTTAGTTCAAAATTTGGGGGAAGTTTTGCGGTTGACATCCCCATTTCTCGAATTTTGGTTAATAGATTTACATGTTTGCATATATCAATATGTATTATATATGTTCCTATATGTGAATATGTTATTCTTCACATGATCGGAACTTGTGTGGAGCGGTTACTTCGCTACGCACAGGACTAAATTTGTGACTTTCGGGTCATCCCATATTTTCGGAGAAACCCAAATACCTGTATATATATATGCATATATACATGTGGTTCACATCCATTACACATTTCCTCATTTTGAAATATTATGTTTCATTTGTGGATTCATATGATCATGATGATTGGCTGTTGAAATCCATGATGTTCCCTTGAACGCAGTGAAGGTCACGACCAGCGCCAGTCGCAATGCAAATCTACCTAGGACCAACATCCCGTAACACAAACCCGGTACTGTTAAACTCATCAAAAACAGGTCCATCAACAACTCACTCACCAAGGAAGATTTTTTAATTCAGGCATCGAAATTTAAGGACAATGTATTCATATTTATGTAGTGGCACCTTTGTTTATTATATTTATACTAAATTTAACTGATTGAGTAAAATTCTCTAAATTTGGTGTTCTCTCTTTGATTCAGATCGAATCATTCTGGCTAGGATTCCAACTAGGATTCCAATTCCAACCCCAAGTTGCACTTTGTTTCAGGTAGCAAGGTTTTGAATGGTTTTGATTATGTACATAGATATGTGTATATATATATACAGGCATAGAAATGCGATGTTGTATGCGGCAATTATGCAGCATTGTCAAAACATTGCGTAGAGGCATAGTAATCCAGTGCATATTGGAATCATGTGATGGGTATACAAACGCCTATTATTGAATTAATGACGCAATGTACGGAAATTTTGATCATGCATATATGACATGCGTTGACGATGTTCAATATTCTGCATCATTTTCAACAAATATGATTTCTCCATTGGGATCCTTCACAATGGGAGTTATGATCCTCATCAACCAATGGATATCCAAACCCTAGTATTGGTGAATAAACCATACCATTGGCAGTTGTTCAAATTGTGCCTGCATTATGATGTCCCAAAAAATTGGGCACCTCTAAAAAAACAAAACAAAAACATGTTCAGTCAAATGTGGCATTTATAGATGAATTTCCATGAACACATCCATGTATAGTGAATAGGGGATTCATGTTCATCCATGTGTCCACATCAAACCAGCCGTACCATCTTTATCTATCTTTATATCATCTCTGGGACCCGCGCTTTTTCACCGCGGCCGTGTTCGTGATCTTTTTGGCTCGTTGAGCATACTTCAAGGACCTCTCAGCATCAAGCGAGTTTAGAAAGATCTAGCACGCCTGGCACAAATTCCTGAGAGAAACGATGTGTGTCTTTTAAAAATAATTTTACAAAATCATAATATATATATATATAATTTATATACTGTATATACATATATACAAAAACATATGTAACACATCTTATGTATATATATATATACGCATTCAAAAACATTCAATAATTTCACCTCTGATTTCTAAAGACAATCAGAACTTGAATTTCCCAGTAGATGGGCACCAACTGAGGGATGTATCATACAAATACCATTCTCATACCAGATAGTGCTCGTCACACGCCGGGGCGGAAGTTTCGAAAATGGGAGATGACTACAAGAAATCACTGGCCTATAGCAACGTTTTTTGAGGTGCAGAAATCACGAGCGGTTGAAGTTGTGAGGTGCATCAACGAATGAGCAAATGGTGGTTGAGATGAACATGCAATGGCATGAAAGAATCCGTGCACGAATCCGTGCACGACTGATTGAATGATCCAATGAAGCAATGAATCAATGAACCAATGAATCAATGAGTCAGTGAAACAATGAAACAATGAACCAATGAATCAGTGGATAAATTAATCAATGAATCAATGAAGCAAAGATTCAGTGAATCACTGAATCAATGAACTGATGATTTAGTGAAACAATGAATCACTGAACCATTGCATGAATGATTTAGTGAGTGGATGAACTATTGAGTCGATG